GAGTCTGGTGAACAAAAAACAGTTGTCTGTTTTCCACTGAAGTACTGATCCTCAAGAACAGCGAGTGTAGCAGCCTAAGCATCATAAGATTCAAGAAGCTTTGGCATCTCTGACTATTCAGGATAGCAATGACTATTCAGTGGCAATATTAAGTTCCTGAAATAATAGAGGCTAAAATTCTTAGTCGAATTTGACTTTGCTATTGTACAGTAAAATTCACTGATGATTTGTCTTCTCAGAGTAAAGTCAGTAAAGCTTCTGTGTGATCTATGAAGGAAGAATGACTAAATGCATTGCATACTTTTTAATCAGTAAATATGATAGTCATCAGATAAATCTTACGTGACTATTTGGGCTTACACCTATACCACAAATTAAAAAAAGAAGAAATAAAAAGGAGATTACTAATTTTCCTCTAGAGTTATTTGACTTCTGTTGGCAGTTAGGAATGTTCTCTCTGGTTTTATATGGTTCTAATCAGGAGATTTTAGGAGCCTCTGACTGGAATTTTGGGATATAAAGTGGGTTTGGAGAGAAGTCTTGATGTGTTTGGGTTTTGTGTTTTTTTTAAAAAGTCTTTGGGTAGAATAACCATCCATCTCCTGACTTTCATGATTAAGGTGATAAACACTTGTGCTTTTGTTCCATTGCAATCCCTTCAGGTGTCACAGAACATAATTTTGGATAAGATCTTACCAGAGCCGAAATACTTTAAAACTGCTTCTCTTGGGAATGCTTTCAAGTGATAGTTTTAGAAAACTAGTTTATGGCAAGGTGATGTTGAAATCTAGGGTTATCAGAGTCCTCCATATCATTGTGGCTTCAATCCTGTAAAATATCAAAATGAGTTGGTTTTTTTTTAGTCTAAACAAAACAGAAGAAATGTCAATTCAACAAAATAGTCAATCACAAATACACTGGTATAAGAGGAAACCTTGCTGTTAAACTGAAGTAGAACTACATTCTTAAAGGCTTTTAGGATTCTCTGGGAAGAAGAATCCATTTTGCAGAAAGATACATTGTGCTATTCCTATTGTTACAGACTGAGGCCTTATTCTGAGCAGCAAAATTGAGTGACTTTCCTGGTTTGTGTCGTTGTTATTATTATTGTTGTTGTTTTGTTTGGATAATCTTTTTTATTTCCTTTTGTGACTGGTAAAGAATTCTGAACACTTATAACTATGCATCTGGTGCTGACAGTGACTTTGAATAAGTTTAGTTTATGTGTGTTGTATTAACTGTGAAAGAAATCTTTTCCCAGTAGTCGCAGACAATCTGTAAGGTGCATCAAACACTCAATAAAGGAATATTCTACTTGACTCCTACTTGGAATAATTACTTCATGAGGATGTAATGTATCTCAATTTGAGTGCAATCTGCTGTATCTACTCAAGGAACTGAGCTAAAATCTGCTGTGAAAGGGAAGAAGCTGTATTCAGCTGTGGTTGTTGCATACTCAGTTCCATCTACCAATTTCCTACCATAAGTCTCAGCACAGCCCCTTTGAATAGGGCAATATGATTTTAAACAATACATTTAATGATATTCCTTGGTCCCGGAAACTTTTCATGTTGGTGATTCTTTGGTATTTTAGTAGGGAAACCATTGTGAGAGATCTTGTGGTATAGCATTAATCATCTTATGAAGATTAAGATATATCATTGCTCTGAGCATCAGAGCATTAATTCCTGCTTCAGTGGCTTTCTTATGTAAAATATTATTACTTAGATTAATAAATGCAAACCAGTGTAATATATTAATGAAGAGGGAGATAGCACACCCCATATATCATGAGATAGAGTCTCTCTGTCTGTCAATTCCCTGTGAAGAAAGAACAATAATCTTTAAAAGACTTTGTTACAAGTAATTCCTTTTCAAATGTTACTTCTCTGTGGACCGCATTAAGGAAAAGGATCACAATTCCAAAAAACAAAAATCTTACATTTTGGAGAAGACAGAGGTCATGTTTCAGGGTCAGACATGTATATAATTTTAAGAGGTTCTGTGTGTTAAGGAAATTCAAGCAGGAGATAATGTCCATAGTCGGACCATTACTTGGGGCTTTCTGTTGAAATAAGGTCATGCATAGACTTCTACATGTACCAAAGTTTTGGTTTGCCTTAGGAGTTTTGTTCTTTTGCTGTTTATTCTAAAACGAAACTGCCTCCTTTCAAATGGATGTATATAATATTTCTGCTTGGTTGCTCAGCCTACTGCATTTATTGAAGTCTCTTGTGCAGCCCAGCCAGAGCAATTGTGGAGAAAAAAATGTTAATACTGTCACTTTCTATCATTTCTAGACCAATAAAATTAAAAACATCTCTAGTGCTGTGTAATAATATAGGAAAAGTACTTAGTATTGCTTTTAGAGACATTTACCATTAAATAAGGCTTTTATTTTAATGTTTAAGAATATTATCCTTTCCCTAAGTATTTCCAAATGGCCCGTTGTGCTAAAAGAAAAGCTTGTAGAGTATTTACAGGATCAGAAATTTTTGTGTCTGTTGAAAAGCTAACAACAGGGTAATTTTGATGGTATTTGAGATATGTCTCAGATTGTGACCTGTGAATACTTTGAAAGAAATTTTCATTAAATATTAAATGATCTTGCAGAGATATTTTAGAACTTGAAAAGGGTTTTTATGTTGCCTTTTTTTTTTTTTTTATATGCTTCCTAGAATTTGCTTTATACCTGATGTAAGCCCTAGAAATTATTTGGAAGTAGCTGATAATGTCTGTATAGCTGTTAAATTCATCCACAGCCATTAAAACACCCTAACAGTGGGCACTCCCATTTTGCTGTTCTCACCTATTTAAAAAGTGCAGCTTGGGAAAGAATTATATTCTCTTGTTTCCGTTGCACTAGGGATCCAATCTTCTGTATTCTTAAGTTGATTTTACTACCAGTGAGGCTGGTGATGCTCACTTTTCTTGATAAGCCCTAGCTAGAAATTTAAAGATAAATAGTACAATCATTAAATCAAAACATATTCCAGCTTTGGTCTATTGTCCAACATTCTGTATTCCCTTTCACATTTGCATCATCAGCAGGTTTTACAAAGCATCCTTTCTTTTTCGTCATCAGTCTTTCAATAAAATGTAAAGTATTATTCTAGCAGAAGAAAACTGAATCAGGTCATTCTTCCTGGATGAAGCAAGATGTGAACTAATCTTTTTTTGAAACTTGCTTTCCATTCAAGTCTGCACTTACCTGATAGTAGATAATTTTAATCTAAATTATGTCGTTCTAGATTGCTTCTCATGATATTCTCAAAAGATGTTGCAAAAACCTTTCTAAGGCAAAGACAGGGCAGGATAGATGTGCTTCCTGCTTTTGAAAGGACAGTTATCTAATTTCTGTAGTGATACTAAAAAAATATGGTGTATTCTTGCTGAATCAGCGTAGGCTGTTAACTGCATGTGGCTCTTAATTGTATCTGTCTTAGATTCTAGCTGCACATAAGTGGTTTGCTTATGTTTTATAGTATTTTTGTGGAAACTCCATTTAAGTTAATTGATCTGTAGTTTCATGGTTGCTCCTTTTTGAGGAAGCTACATGCAGGCACAAATTTGACTGTAGTGAGTATAGCTCACTGAATATAAACAGTCTGAAGTTAATGCATATGGTTTCATAACTTGCAAGTAGAAAGAGGAAAAGAGACTGTAGAGCCAGCACTTGAGAGAAAGGGCTCTCTGACCCATTTTGAGTATGGGAGTGAGAATTAAGATTGTTCCACTTGCCCTGATGCCTCTTGTGCAGTGTGACAGAGCTGCAGGAGTTATGATGTTGTTTCTGACAAGGAAATCAGAATTTTTGACAACTTTCTGGTCTATCCACCTTGCTGCCTTTGCTTGTGTGTATAGCCCAGTAAATGTGGGTTTTGTTTCAATATGTTGAGAGTGGTGTGTATCAGAGCTCTAGCAGTGGTCTGATATATAAATTTAGTCAAGTTATTTTACCTTTGTCTACTCTTCATATCACTCAGTATTTTTTCTAAAGTTGACCAGTATGCTTTGATTTTTAGGTGGCGTGCAACAATTGTTCTGGGGCTGTGAACAGTTCTCAATAATGTTAGGCTGGCAAGAAGATTCAGAGCTACCAAGATCCCTAGAAGCATAAAGCAATGAACTTCTAAGGCTTCCAGTGTTTTTGCTCCTGGTACTCATCATATTCCCAGCAGCCACAGCAGAGAGACCATTCCTGCCAGTGAAACAATGTTGTCCCTGTTTCTTCTTTTGAAGCTGAGATTTTGAGATTTTTTTATTTGCAAATTTTGGTCTGTGACCTAAAAGCTATGAAAAAGTTGATCATCTCTGGCCTAGGCACTAAACAGTTTTCCAGTAACTTTTTTATTTATGAAATGCTCACTTACCACCATGATGCCCAGCTGCTGTACCAGTTCTCCAGATAAGCAGGAGAGTCACAGACCAAAAACATACGTGCTCAGTTGTTATAGCCTTAGGGAGCTGATTCTGAAACTTGCCTTCTTGAAGGCTACTGTGAGACTTTTCCACAAGGGAAAAATTTAATGTTATAATAGATAAAAAATTAAGACGTATTGGTGGCTTAAAATTAAGATTGATCCCAGTTATGTGGGTCACATAGATAGGGAGCAGGTAACCATGTTACTGTGCCATACAGAGTTGTGACTTGCAAAATTTATACACAGTGGAGAACTTGATGGCTTTGACTGACTAATTGAGAACATTCTGATTACACATTCAAACCAGAGGATTTTGCATGTGTGATTTCTTTATAAAATGGGAGAGTTGGCACAAATCCTAACATTTTTTATGCTGTTGTGAGAACTGCTGCTCAAAAGAGAATGGTCCTCCTGCATCTTTCTCACTTTTTCTTTTCTCAGAATCATAAGGATGAGTATTTCTAGTAGTCACAATATCTTTACTATTAGTCATTTGTATCCTGTAGAATAATGTTAGTGTTTGCTACCATCTGTAACTGCTTAGCACATTCTTTCTTCTCTTATCTTCATTTTTAGCTGTACATCCTTGACCCCTGGACCCAGCTGTGATCGTTTTAAACTACATATCCCTTATGCGGGAGAAACACTCAAATGTAAGTTAAAAAATCTTGCAGCTCTATCTTGGCTTTTCTACCAGTGTTCTGTGTTTCTCTAATTTCCAGTGTGTCTGTCTAACTTTATGAGTTTTGAGATACATGTGTTTGTTGTTTTCTCTCAAAGCTTCATTTCCAAGAACACTCAACTATCAAGAATATGTATTATTTAAGATAAGTTTAAAGGCTTCTGTGAGACTACAGTTTTGAAAAATGAGTTCTAAAAGCCAAAAGTCACAACCTACACTCCTGGTATTTCTAATAAAATGTTATGACTAAGACAATCTCATGACCATTTTTTCATTAATTTAGAAGTTGTGTATGTTCTGTTTCTTTCTGTCTCTTTTAGGAATTATTATTAATTAAGCTCCAATAAAAGATGTTAATCTGCTATTTTTTTGGTAGCTTTAAACAATGATTGGTATAATTAGCCAGATTAGAGAAATGTGAATTTGATTTTACTGATTAGTTGTATTGCTAAATCATCTTTATGATTAGAGAACCTGTAGAAAGCTAGCTCATTTGCCCACTCAGTGTGTGATTTGTCTTAGTTTGTGTTTTGTTTCAAAGGTTTAGAATAAAATTTGCTTTTGTATATTTTTAGAAGGTAACGTTTTCTAAACACTTGAACTGCTGAAAAATGGTTGTTTTTCTCTCTAATAACTGAAAAGTGAGAGAGGACGAAGAATTTCAGATAAAGTAAAATTCAAAGCTTCGCATTTATAGTTTTAGGACAGCTCTGGTAAAGCCACACCTAGGATACTGTGTCCAGTTCTGGTCTGTCTGTTACCAGAGCAACATGGACATACTGCAATGAGTACAGCAAAAGACTACAAAGATGACCAAAGACTGGAGGGTTTGTGGTATGAGAAGAGGCCAAAATTGCTGGGGCTTCTTAAGAAAGAAGGCTCAGGGCAAATCTTACCAATGTATATAAATACGTGATGGGGATAAATGAAGAAGCCTGGCTCTTCTCAGTGGCAGTCACTGAAGGAAAATGGTCACAAATTGAAATGTAGAAAACTCCATTCAAACACAATAAAAATTATTTTGCAAGGGTGGTCAAAAAGTGGAACAGATTGTGCTCAGAGCTTTTGTAGTTTTTGTATCTTCATCCTTGAGGCTATTCAGAACCCAGCTGGATGTGACCCTTAGCAGTCTCCTCTGTTTGCCTTGCTCTGAGCTGAGGGATCAGACTAGGCAGTCTCCAGTAGGGCTGTCCAGCCTTAGCTATCCTGTGAGTCCATGGAAGTATGCTTTCTGGGGGAACAGGTACTTGCTGTGCACAGAAATGGTAAGCATTTAAAACACTGCTTTGATAGTATCCATTTAGACTGCATCATAAACTTGCTGTAGCTCTCTAAGATATTTTAAGGATTAAGAATTTTAATGTATTCCTTCTGCAGTATTTTTATTTGGTTGGGTTTTTTTTTTAACATTATGTCATGCACTGGAAGTCCTTACTCATTTGTGAACAGAAATCAACTCACTTAAGCTCCTTATATTTTAGAAGTACATTAAAGCTTCCATTTGGCACCTGTAAGGAAAGTTGTCTTTCTCAGAAGTTGATCTGGAACCTTACTCAGGTGTTCTCAGGCTCATCTATCAGCCTACTATAGCAATTTTGACTTTTCTAAATATATGAAATTATGGCTCAAGAGGCTTACTAATTATTCTTTCTCACAAAATAAAATTGGAAGATTTAAGTCCTAGCTAGTAATCATTTTAAGACAAAATAAGTGGTTCTGCATTTGTTCAGAAGTCTTGTGAGTAATGGCTGTATTGTATGAAGCCAGCTGCCCTCCCGGGTAGAACTTTTATTTTAAAAATTGTTAAAATGTGTAGTAAACTCAACCTGTTGAGTCTTGACATGTTCTGCAATGTGTAGTAGATTCTACTTAAGTCTTGTTTGATGACTATGATAAAGTCAAAATAAGTTTCACATGCTTTATAGAGTGGTGTCATGTTCTATGGGACCGTCTTACCTTATACAGGGCCATCTTGGTACATTCTGAGAGATGTAAGTCTTATTTCAAGTAGAGACTGAAGCTGTTCCTGATTCATAAAGGAAAAGGATAGTCAAAAATGCCTGTATGCAAGTGCACAGGCATAAAGACTATATTCATATATTAAATTACTATATATATACTATATACTATATATTAATATTAATATTAAATAGTCCAATTAAAGTACCTAGAAATATGATTATGGAATATGCGTTACATTTCAATATCAGGAAATCTGGTTTTTTTTCTCCAGTGTGCTTATATTTTTTATATCGCATACACAATTAAACAAGAAAACCCTACAGAACATGTTATAAATTTTAACAAAGACAACTGAAAATGGTATAAATAAGTGTATCTTTTTCAGAGGTGTCTAATAATAGTTGTGAATTCAAGCAATGATGATCCTCTACATTTCAGTGTTACATGAAAATGCTATGAATCCTGAAGTTTCACAGCATGTGGAATAAATAGTGATGTGAGCAGAATTCAAGAAAGCTTTAATAATTTTGTATTTAGATCTGAAATTATGGTAGGGGAAGACAGCCATAGTGTGCAAACAGAGATGTTTAGATACTTTGTTGTAAGCTGTTGCTAGATATGCTATCTTTCAAGGGCAGAATATTTCTGCAAAGGAAAGTTGCGAAATCTGCCAGAATAAAAAGATTGGCTGAAAGCATTCAGGATCTCCAGGGTATGGGCTTCAGATGTGGTACCAAATACAGGCTGAAGTTGTGTAGTTCCTCTGTGGTTTGGGTTACATCCTCTTTGCAACAGATTAGGTCTTTGCATATCATCAATCATAACCGCTGCCACTGCACAGGCACCCTTGTAGCAACCCCAGTGTGTTGGAAACTGTTGATGTGCAGCTTTAGGGAAGTGTAACTGCACAGTGCATTCCTGTTTTCCAAAAGACCAGAAAGTTCACAGCTTTTCAAAAAAGGAGAAAGTGTACTTGCAGGAAAGGCTAACTACCTATAGTGTAAAATAATTGTAAATATTGGTAGGAGCAAACGCTGTGACTTCAGAATGATTTGTTGGCTGTTTAATGAGGTTTTTTTTAAGATGCCATGTTCACCTTTCTTTTGCATGTATACAGAGCTGCTGGAATGTTAAACTGAAAAGTAACTCAGCTCCAGCTAGGAACCTTGGAGATACCCACAATTTTATACTGGGGAAAATACTATGTCAGTGTTCAAGATAAGTTAGTTTGTCATACTAATTGTCTTCCATCACACTTAAGTGATGCTTTCAGGGAGGCAGTTTTACTTGATTTTCTTCTGGAAGGGAAATAATTTTTTTTGTTTGTTTCATGGTGGGGATATTTAGAAATCTTGAGCCTAGTCTTGCTAGACTCTCAGTTGAAATCTAAGATGGCCATGTTGTTTTTATTAGTTCATCCAGTACTCAATATTGTTGCATTAAACTCCATGCTTTTCTCTGTATTTGAGTTTTTCAGAGTCCTTAATTAGAGTTTTAATTTCAGGAAGACTGCCTGTAATACCCTGTAAGAGGTTGAATCTGTGTTTCTAGGACAAAACTTACTTTGTGTGGTATGCAGAAGTATCTTTTATTGCTAACAGCACTGCAGTATCTGCTTAGAAAAGTTCAGTATTCTTTCTGAGGAAGTATTTGTGTATTTTGAGATGAAGTGTTCTGTAACTCTTGCAGATATTTCAGTCTTAGTTGATAAAACATCAATGCAGATATCAGCAGAAATTGTCAGAATAAGCAGAGTTATAAGCTGCAGTAGTCTTTATAATTCAAACATACCATTTATTATCAAATTGCAATTTTTTTCCAGAAAACCTTGGAATATCTTGGGTTTGGCTTTCCGTTTTCACTCAAGCTTGCATTGCTGCTTGCTAGGGAATCTGACTGTTTTTTTGCTTTTGCTCTTCACATTTTCTTTTTCAGGCACTGATGCCTCCTTCCTTCTCTGACCTTGAGTGCTGTCATCTGGAATTTCACAGTGATTAAACAATGTATTGCCCTTGCAATGCTACTGTTCTCTGTGGCTTCTTGAACTCTAGTATTTTCATCTTCTGTCTGATTTTCACTGTTTTTATGTGAGTGGATTATAGCTCTGAGTTCTACTGCCACCACTTTGGTTTCCTTGATCCTGAAGGACATTTCCTTTGTCTCATTTGAAGCCTACTTTTTCATTTTTTGCTTCTGATTTTTGTTTATTAGATTCTTACTCTTATTAGTTATGGGCCTTAAAGGAGGAAATCAGTTCTGCTGCCTAACCAGTCTAAGAATATTGCCCATAATACATGGTACAAAATTTCATCTGTTTATAGTCCTGTGATGGAACTCTTTCAGTAATTTCATCCAGCCTTCTTGTGGATTTCTATTTTAAGGAAATAATTAAGAACAAACAAAAGGATAAATATAGAGAACAGCCCGACCTCCTTATTGCCCCTTTAAAGGCTGCTTTGCCAAGTTATTTGCTAAACATTTGTTTATTGTGCCAATAAACAATTGTAAAAATGATTTTTCAAGTTACTGTAAGATATAAGATTCTCCTAAGTATGTTGCTGCAATGCATGTGTTAGTGTTTTTTGCACCATTAGGTTATTTTACACAGGCTATATTTAGGTTGAGGCTCTTACGGGAAGGATTTTCTGGTTGCTGTAGTTCAGATTTTACTTAGGTGTTATCCCTACCTGTATGATAAATATCTTTTTGCTGGGTCATGCAACTTACCAAAGATTTTTCCAGGCAATATGTTTTCTTGAAGATTGGCTGAGTCTTGCTTTACATGGCAGGAGTAATAAATCTTTTTCCCTCAGTAAGCAGTTAGTTATCTAATGAATGTACCTAATGAGAGTGTCAAGAGAGAGTCTAATCTTGCACATTTCTTCTTCAAATACAAAATTTGCAACAATATTTTCCTCTTTTAAATAATTCTCTTTCCTCTTACTTGGGTTCTTTGTTCACTTTTTCTTACGTTCTGGACTTCCCTTGAGCAAGTAAATTGCAGGAGAT